GACCGTGCTTTGTTAACGCGTTTTCCATCCAAGGCGCCGAAGGGCAGCTCCTCTGCGGCAGCGGTCGGGTCAGCTCACGGGCCTGTCGGGACAGACGGATGAACAAAGATACCCTGACTGATAAACACGAAGTTTTTTACAACGACAGTGGTGAAACCCTGGCACAGGTTGCCCAGAGAGGTGGTAGATGCCCCATCCCTGGAGACATTCAAGGCCGGGTATGACAGGGCTCTGAGCAACGTGGTCTAGCTGCTCACTGCAGGGGGGTGGGGTTGATGGCCTCTAAAGGTCCCTTCCAACCCAAACCATTCCATGATTCTACAATTGTGCCTCCGGCTCCTCTCAGCTGTGAACCAGTGGGGTTTGTGACTCTGGAGGGCTTGCATCAGCTTCTTCAATTTTTTAATCCCAGATGAGTGTCAGCTTTAAATTCTCTGATTTATGTTCATTTTTCAGCTGAAATGTGGGAACTGTGGTGAAGTTTCTGAGAAATGGCAGTGTCTGCGATTGATGGTATGTCTCCCTGCTGTAACCTGCATCAGAACAAAAATGAGAAAACACACCTGCCTCTTACATGCACGGGATATTAGTGTCAGGGATGTGACGACTTGCACTTGAGATGCGATAGTATTTTAATAGCTACATGCATTCAGGAAATTAATTCCATAGTAAAATAAATATTTGGAGACTGTTAATTGACATGCCATTGGAATGGTGACTGTTGGTGACAAAGTATTTACAAAGTATTTATTTTAAAGTATTTACTGCTTAGTAAAGCTGCCTTTCTGTAAAAATGTAATTTGAAAACAAATTTTGAAGTGTTATCAGAATAAGGGTGTGCCTGTAGCATACTTCTCTGATGTTGATGGAATCTTTTTGGAGAAGTTCAGGTAATTTGAGTTGAGTTAAGCGTGCTAAATTAGCATTTGGAAACTGAAAATGCAGGATAAAATTGTGTTCTTAGGAATAATCATCCCTTTTTGTTGCATACTACTGAATGGTAAGAATCTGTTTTGAGGAATTAATGGAACATGCCTATGTGGACAAGACATAACTATCCATCATTCACCATTTTAAATACAGAACAGAATTATTCTTTGCAATCACAGCTTTCTGAATTATAGATCTCTCTAGTTTAACAAAAGCCTTCTCACTGCAGTATTTTTAAAAAGTTAAAGACGGTTGCTGTAAAACCACTCCAGTGGCTCAGCCAGAGCGCAGTTAAGAACGATGTCTCTGTTGCCGTGGTTTTTAGGACAGTGCTCCCCTGAAAGGAGGCAGAGGAAGTGCCACCATGGTGCAGAAATGCAAGCTGTGCTGCAGGGAGAACTCCGTTGGTATGTGCTTAGAAATTTCAGAGGCATCATCCATTTTACACTTTCTCTCCTAAGTTTATTTTTTAGTCCCCATTTTTGCTTGATGGTGTTGTAAAGAATATTCAGCAGGGATTTTTTTCCTTGTACGTTGGTGCTTGAGTTTACAACAGGTACTTACTTGTCATAATGCTCATGAAGTAGACAGCAGGGCCTCCTGGAGAGTTCGGGTTTCTTCAGGAACAAAACTCATATCCGTATTGTCATTTTACAAAAGCATGCAATTTTTTTTTTTGCATTGGCAGGTAACAAAATGGTGCAATGTAAACTTCTCAGGAATTTAGGGCCAACAGCAGGAACTGCTTGGTTACTTTGTTTCTCTTACTTTGTATAAGGGAATTTCTTTGAAAGAAGAAGGTGGTGCTTGGTTTGTGCTGCATAAAACTGAAGACGTAATGCCACTCACTTTTACCTTCTTTTTTTTTTAGATATTTTAAGTCAGACAATCAAACCTTACAATGTAAGTTTGTTTTCTATATAACAAGTGAAAGATAAATATTAATAATATTTTTAGGTTTTGCTTTATCATCACATGCCTCTTCCAAGAACACAAAAAGCTGGTATTCTCCTCTGACAGAAAATTGTCTCCTGTAGACTCCTGCATGCAGTCTCAAATGTAGAATCATCCGTGACACATTTCATATGTAAAACACAAAATTGTATCACTGAAATTAGAGGCAATCATACAATGCCCATATTAGTTTCCTTTTGAAGGCTTCCTTGTGGCAGATTAAGGAATTCTAGTTAATTATCACCTATTAAATGAGTCCTAGAATTTTGCTGTCACTGGGGACATCAGTTGATAGTACTGCCTTTAAAGCAGTTTATTCCTAGACTAATGCTTATCACTGTCTTTCTCTGTTAGATGAAAACTAATGGTATTCTGACTCAATTGTAGGCTGAAGACAGCGAGAAATTC